TAGAGGTATTAATATCAAATTTTGTGCAAGTCTGTCCAATTATGTTTTACATATACTTATTTTGAAAATTTTAATGGAACGGCTGCACTGGTTCGGAAAGCTGCCATACAACTCCGAATGTTTGTTTTAAATATTTGGAAAAATAATAAAGCTAGATTTATGAAACTCGGCAAGCGTGTGTCCAATTTCAGGACATAAATATATTTCTGAAGTTTTGGTGGAATTGCTTGACAGGTTCGGGTAGCCGCCATACAACTCCGAAAGTTAATTTTAAATATTAGGAAAAAAAATTATAGTTAGATTCATAAAACTTGGCAGCTGTGTGTCCTATTTTAGGTTAAATATATTTCTGAAGTTTTGGTGGAATTGCTTGACAGGTTCGGATAGCCGCCATACAACTCCGCAAGTTAATTTTAAATATTTGGAAAAATATTAAAGCAAGATTCATAAAACTTGGTAGTCGTGTTCGATTTCAGGTCAGATATATTTCTGAAGTTTTAGTGGAATTGCTTGACAGGTTCGGGTAGCCGCCATACAACTCCGCAAGTTAATTTTAAATATTTGGAAAAATATTAAAGCTAGATTCATGAAACTCGGCAGTCGTATTCGATTTCAGGTCAGATATATTTCTGAAGTTTTAGTGGAATTGCTTGACAGGCTCGGGTAGCCGCCATACAACTCCGCAAGTTAATTTTAAATATTTGGAAAAATATTAAGGCTAGATTCATGAAACTCGGTCCAAAAACAACAAAATATTTCAAAAACAAATTTTTAAACTCAGATTGTCAAAGTGCTGGGTATTATTCAGTCGGTTTATTTCGACGGAAACGCTTTTACTTGTTCTAATTTCAATTAGTATCAATTAGCACTGAATAAGTTCATTTATCTAGTTTTAAATGTTTTTAAACGTGCGTTTCACTTTTATGAAAATAACCATCATGAAAATTTAAATATGAAACGTAGAAATAATATGTGCAGATGTTTCAGTTTTAACTTGAAACGGTAAAAAAACAACAATACATTTTCATTGCAAAAGTGTATAACATATCTACATTTCAATGCCTTCTTAGAAAATTTTATGATCTTGATATCTAGTTTGCTAGAAAAATTTATGGAATAATTAGTTAGTTATAATGTTCTTAGAGGATTTTTTTTTAAAACTGCTGAAAAAATTCAATTTTTTCTTGCATTACAAAGCGCCCTTAGAGGATTTCATTTTTTCTATATAATTGAAATAATTTTAGCGCTTTACTATAAGAAGTATTGAAATATGTTTATGTTATATAAAGGTAAAAATTATTTCCACTTTGAGCAAAAATATTACGAGCCATCATTTTGTTTACAATGAAGAAATATGCTTTTCGAAATGGTTTATGGACACTTAAGACATGCGTTTTTTCAGTTTCAGTGCATTTTTTTTAATGCAGTAATAAGAAATGTTTATTAAAAATCAGTTTCCTTTTACAAAATAGAATTCTACACATAATGCATGTTCTACAAGTATAGTTAAGAGTGTGTCCACGATTGATTTGGGTAATTAAGAAATCCGCAAAACGAAAGCAAGTAATTATATTCTTGCAATTAAATCTTAATGTATTTTATTTACAGAGTGAACTTGTAGTTCAATAGTACTTTCAACTCGAAGAATAAAAGTAATAACCATTAATTCAGCGTAAGATATAAGCTTGTATATACATCTACATACCAATACATATTTACTTAGCATTACATATTATGTACTACACTCTTCACTGTATAATAGTATGTTAGTACAAAAGGAACCAATCGATTTGACTTATTTTTATAGTTCATTGCGTAAATCTCTATTATCGTTTCAAATAAACAAGAAAAAAAAAATTTCAAGGATATTATAAGTATTCTTTCATGATCCGATTGATTACAACCTATAAAAGAATATCCTTCTTTTACCTAAAATATGTGCCAAACCATTTTTGAAAGAGAATATAGATTTCAAAAAAGATCGCTATAAATCGTAATATATACATACATGTATATGTATGGGATGTATCATAAAATATAATATAACATAATATATATAATATGTATGTATGTAAATAATAAGTAAGAATGTATATCCACAGAGTACATCAAGAGTTTTTTAAAATTATAGAAAAAATCACGTAAAATATGATATGTTTTTCTCAGAACATCTGTTTATTAGCTATTTACATGTTATACTACATGAATATAGAAAAAATTAGACCTTAAACTTTCAAAAAGCATACTTTTAACTCACATGCTTTATTGTGTATTTTCCAAGTCCTAAATATCTACTTCTAACAATAACCTCAACGGATTACATGTTCCTAATTTTAATCATCATTATGTATACATCTTTAGTATTTATGCAGGTTCATAGAAAAAATTGCTCAACTTCGGATGGAGGGAATAAAGCTCGGACGTCTGCGAAACGGTTCAATGGACTAAACAAAAACCATTTAAAAAATTTTATATGACAAATATCTGGCAAATATCATTGTACTATTCGCAACTTTTTATCATAACTAATTAATATGCCTACCCAATGTAATACTAATGGTTGGTGTCTGACTTACCATGTTTGAGCAAAAACTGCTTAAACACGAAATTTTTTGTAAAAGAAACCTATTAATTTTTTAAAAGGTTTATTTATTTCATAAATATCTTCGTTATTTTTTATTTTTCGAAGCACTACATCCGTTCTTTTTAAATTATACATAATTTTCATGTCACACGTAAAATTTGTTAAAAAAATGTCAGCTTAAAGAAAAATGTAAGTGAAATCTTAAATTTTGTAATAAAAATATAAAAGAAAAACATTTGGAATAGTACATCAGCTACCCAAAATTGTCAAACCATGCCAAAAACCTTTAATAATATATGTGACCTATGTATAATTGGACACCTGAATCTATGCCAAATCCAAATGATCCAAATCTTATGAACCTATATTTATTATTTTACCGAATACTTAAAATTAGCTTTTGGAGTATTATGGCCGCTACCTGAACCTGTCAAGTCATTCCATAAAAACCTCGAGTATATATCTGGGCTATAATTGGACACGCGACTGTTAAATTTAATGCAGCTAGATTTATTACTATTAAGATCTTTAGAACATATGTAGAATATAATTGGACATATGTATGTATATTTATAATATACATTTCATATCTATAACTTTATTAATTTTTGAAATTTTTAAAATAATCTCTTTGAGTTGTATGGCAGCTACCCGAACCCAATGTCCGAATTATTCCAATTGTCCTTGGAACAAAAGAAGCAACTTGTGAATGTTTGGTATTTGCTTTATTTGTTTTTGTGTTTACGTGCGATCGGATGAACGGACGGACATGTCTAGATCAATGCAGAATTTTACGCTGCGCAAGAATATATAACATTATCCATACCGCAGATGACTCAAGTGGTTATAAACTCCGTACCAAAGTTGATATACCCTTCACGGAGGTGCAGGGTATAATAAAAGTACAGAGTACAGTATAACATTGTATATTTCCTACACATATACCGGCGTATATATATTAGACATATCTAAAAAAGATGAAAGAATGTGAATTTTATGTCGATATGGATTGTGTTTTCCATATCGACATTTAAATTACAGATTATGTATAAATCTATATTTAAAATTGTGTAATTGAATGTTAATTTTTGGCTACCACTATATTGCAAGCAATCTTTGTTTCCGTCAACATTCTATGTAAAAGTAAGAAAATATTTTTTTTTTTAACATTTATATTTTAGATGTGCAAAAAGTAACAATATAATGTGGTAGTTTCTATGATGTTGTACTTCTGCTTTTATTATTCTCGTTCTTCAACGACCGTGTTGCATATAATAGAAGAGGATATTTTTAGAAGGAAGTAGACCTGTCGGTCTGTGTGTGAACGCGCGTATTTCAAGTTCTTCTGAACATTTTGATGAAATTTTATAAATAAATTTATTTTGGCTGTGTCACGGGTTGATCAACTTTTAGGATTTATCGAAACTAATTGTAGAACTTTTTAGGGGATTCGGATGTTCCAATTTTGTCGTTATATTGTTTTAAAAGGCATTTTTGTAATCTTCCGCAGCACTTTAACTAAACTGTGAAATTTTTTCTCTAGAAAATGTAATAACCATATCAAAGTTTTTTTATTTATTGACATGTGAATGTCATCAAATGGTGTATAAAAATTCAAAGTGCGTATAAAGATGTTGATAAAAATGTTCTTGTTGTCTGTAGTAACGTAAGTTTTATGTCCAAAATAATTAATGTTCACAATGTCAGTTGAGTTCAAATTTGTATGCTAAGAAGAAAATTTATGTATATATATAAACAAACTTTATAAACTTAAGCGGGCGTTAGTTCTGCCACAAATTATGAAAACAAACATTTTACAAACTTCATTTTCAATTATTTAAACTTTATTGCACTAAAACTTTAATACTGTATTATTTTTTTTATAGTTGTAAATTTTTTCAGTGAACTTTTTTAAATTTTTGGTTAAATTTTTAGTAACAATTTTTTTCCTTTCTTTTTCACATTTCAGCAAATCAAATCGCATTTTCGACTATTGTTATTATGATATTGGAAAAGTTTAAAAAATTTACCTAAAAAAATCGTTAAAAATTAACTTAAATTAAATTTTTATTAATTTCATTTAAATAGAAATTTAAAATGTAGAACACTATCTTTAAATAGTTAATTAGAAAACATATGTAGTTAAAAAAATTTAAAACTAAAATTTTTCCATTTCATTTAAAATTCTTTCTTAATTTTATAATATGCACATTTTTCATATAACTTACACGAGACTATTTACTTTATTTAATTATTTTCCATAGCAATTTTAATTAGCTTAATTAAAAATTTTGTAGGTATTTCTTATTAAATAACGTAAAATTACCATGCAACATTAAAAAATCAATTATTGCGATTATGTTATTTTTTAAAAAATTATGTTAAAATCTCATTTTACGGGAAAAAATATAGAGAAATCTTACAACATATTCATAATTATAAATTCCTGCCGAAATAACACAAATAAGTTCATATTACAAAATAAATAAATTATTTTATACACTTAAAAAATGAATGAATTAATACATGCCACAAATACTTGTGCCTCGAGAGGCAGTATATGTAGTAGAACAGGTAGTAGTGCCGACAGTGCTGGGGGTGTTGGTAGCGGTGAAGAACCAGTTCCTATTGAAAGAACAAGCAGTATAGCAATGAGTGCTTCAGCAAGTGGTCAAGATAGTAGCGATCAAAAAGATTCGCCAAAATTAAGGAGTAAGTAACAGTAAATGTTTATGTAGAGTAGAATATTTCTGTTGTTACACATTCTATATAATATATATCTCATCTAAAACAACATAAGATTTTCGTTAATATGGCAAATTTATAATTTTAAAATATAAAAGAAAATCTGATGTATTCAGCACATAACCGACCGCAATGTATATTGCCTATTTTAGTCAAAGTGTTACAGAAGATTATAAAACCAGTCATACATAATAAGTTCACAAGTTAGTTTCGGTAACAACCAGAACTCATATATGAAATTTCCAGAAATTTCACCTATCCGTTTAGTTCGGTTTCCGAGCCCAAATTTTTTTAATACCTTGAATTTAAATATTAAACTTCGAGAAAATTGGTTGATAATTTCTGTAAAATCGACCCGCGAAAAGATCCAGTTTCCGGGCTTGATATATCCCTAAACTCGGTCAATCCGTGTCTATAGCCAAAATACACTCACATATAAAATTTCAACAAAATCGGTTCAACCGAACTTGAGATACACTGGGGCACACACAGCCCGACACACCGACATGTCTCTAAAAAGTATAACTAGCCAAAAAGTAGTTCTACTCTCTGTTTACATCACACTAATAGAATCACTCACCAATTTTTATATACAAAAAATTCCCTTAGCTAAGAGTTAGGTGGAATGCCTTTTTATTTTCAGTTTTATACACATAAGAATTTTTGGGAGAGGGAAAGATTACGCAATAGATGTCTACCTGTTTGATGTATATTTAATGTAATAAAATATATAAACTATGAATTTTTTGTTTATACATATTTCAATTTTGTCTTTAAAAATTTAAAACAAATATTTCTTATGAATATACATATGTATGTACATATGTACATAAATACATACGTATCGGTAATACGCATTTTGTTTATATATTGCTTAATTTCTATACCCACGTCTACATTGCGGCTTGACGTGAAATCAGCTCGAAACTCAAGCTGCGTTTTTACTATGTTATCTTAAAAGTCCGAAACAAAGTTTAGCTATTAAATTTCAAATCATTATTAACATTTCAAGTCAAGTAAGTGACTTGAGTGAGGCTTCAAGTCAAGTAATATTTAAAAGGTTCTGACATATTTTGTAAATCAATTAACACTGACATTGGGTCCGTATTATACAAGTTTATTAACTTCATTTTTGCCGTGCCAGTCTTGCTTCTTACTGCTTAAAGCCTTATACTTTAGAATCGTGCTTTGTTCTTGTATGTTGTCTAAATGTCCGGGATTAAAACTATGACTTTTATATAAGACAGTTACTTTAACCGGCTAACGTTGATCGCCTCATATATCTTGAAATTTTAGTCATTTCGTGCGTGAAATATTTGCAGATCCACATTTGTACATCCACATTGATATATAAATTTAATAAAATTAAGAAATGGCAGCATCTCTAAATGAATCAGCATCCATTGAAACAAGATATGGCAGCATCAATAGCTTAGCTTAACTACAACGACGTTTATTGAGTAGGATATTATATACTGGTTCGAAGATCCGCGTATGGTATTTCTATATGAGGCTTTTGTTTAGTTTTGTTCACAATAACGAATCGTTCTTTTTTAATTATACTATATGTACATCAAAACTATTACGGGACATCAATATGTATTATAAACTCTTTGTCTCCTCTTAAAATAATACTTATTTATTTAATCTGCGGTTCTAAATAAATTTTCTGATATTAAAAGTTTTTTCTTCTTAACTTCTGCTCTTTTTGTTTTTTAAGATCACATTGTTAAAATATAGCTTTCGTTAAATGATGCAAAATGGCACATTACGATCTAATTGTACGCACGTTTGTTCTGGTAAGTATTAGCAAATATTGTCACAATATGTGTTAGTATCAAAGCAAAAAAAAAAACAAATTAAAGGTGTGTTTATGGCACGAGGAGTGTGGTTTCATAATAAGGAATTAACAAATTGTTTTGGGAATATTTTTAATATCTTTTAATTTGCGTGTTACGAGTACTCTTGGGTTACATTATGGCACTTATCATAAATTAATAACGTCAGCAAACATTTCTTTAATAATTATATCTTTCATATATACATATATATGGTATGTTTTTAATTACATTTTATTTCAAGTAAATTAAATATGAAAGAAAAGTACAATTTTTTATAAGATAACATCCTTATAACCAGTAATATAGATAACCATTTAAATTTCGCTTTTTATAAAACCACCCTATATATAATTACATATGTATACATATTGCTATGAAAAAGGGTATAAATTTTAGGCTTTTTGATAAATTTTTTTTTATTTTATACATTCCTTTTTTTTGAAGTTTAGTTTAAAAAACTGGTTAAAAATGCTGATTAGAACAAAGCACATTGATAGACCAATATTGCTAACTATAGTGTTTAATTAAATTTACATTTAACATATTTAAATAAAAATCCAATACACGTAATAGTTACGTAATACATACAAGTTGCTCAATTTCTTCCTTATTAATTGTTAATTTTAAATTAATGATGTAATTTATAACTATATCATTGAAGAAAGGTATTACTTTTTCATTTTAATGCTATTCAAAAATAAAAAAACACAGTTAATCCGAATTGTAATTTGGCTACAAATTAAAAGTACTTAGTAAAGTTTTATTTATTTAATAAGAATTGTACGTCTTTTAATATTATATTTTTCTTCGAAATATATTGCCACGTCTAAAACAAGTTGCTCTTCAAATAAATTTACCCGAGTTCAATAGTTATGTTTATTCATCAATAAAAATTCTATTAACATATATTTTTGGTAGGTGTGTAATAATTATTCCAATAAAAGTACTCTAATAACAATGATAAAACTAGAAAAGATTAATATAAGAGTAAAACATTTTCGGTTTATTGAACTATGTATATGCAAATAGAAATTAAATTTTTTATGCTTCAAATATTTTGAACGTATTACACATGCCCTACTAGTAGTATACACTTTGTCATATACTCGTATGTATACAATTAATTATACTGTTTATTATATTTTTTAACTGCAAAAACAGCTTCTAATATAATAAGTTTAAAATCAAAATAAATTCATTCTTGTTTAATAAAGCTCTAAAACAAGTCTAAAACAAGTTGCTCTTCAAATAAATTTACCCGAGTTCAATAGTTATGTTTATTCATCAATAAAAATTCTATTAACATATATTTTTGGTAGGTGTGTAATAATTATTCCAATAAAAGTACTCTAATAACAATGATAAAACTAGAAAAGATTAATATAAGAGTAAAACATTTTCGGTTTATTGAACTACATATATGCAAATAGAAATTAAATTTTTTATGCTTCAAATATTTTGAACGTATTACACTTGCCCTATTAGTAGTATACACTTTGTCATATACTCGTATGTATACAATTAATTATACTGTTTATTATATTTTTTAACTGCAAAAACAGCTTCTAATATAATAAGTTTAAAATCAAAATAAATTCATTCTTGTTTAATAAAGCTAAAATTATTTAAAGTTGAAGAAGTTATAAGAAATGTAGACGAAAATATAAGGAGTATATTTTCATGTTAATAGAATTACAATATACATATTACAGTCGTAAAACGAAAAGATGTATACCTTGCTTGCAAATAAAGTTATTGCAGTATTAAAAATATCGAAGACGTGTGAATAAAGTTAGGTCAAATTAATGCTTTCTAAAGTAGCACTTTTCAGATAAACAAATAGATAAATATTTTCATCTATAGAAATTACTTTCTTGTAAATAGCAGGTAAATAGGTTTCTAGTAAACAGGTTCACGGATGAACGCACAGACGAACAGACGGACAGGATGAAAGTAACACATACTTTTTTCAAATATTTTTTGGAAAAGTTGTAAAAAGAAGAAAAAAACAAAATACGTATGATGAACTACATTTTTTCCAGATATTTTTAAAAATATTTTTAGCCAGTAATCAGTATACGTTAATTAGTCTTTTAAAACGGTCGCACTATCAAAGAGATAAATAATCAACACAAAAAAATTAAGAGATAACAAAAAGCTGTTTTTAAAAAGTAATAACTATACATGTCATTTATAAAAATGAAATTTTTAAATATTTTCTTTATCGTTCAAATAATTGCAATCAATAATTTGTTAGTAAGTTAATCATTTAATTAAGTACTTACTTTTGCGTTGATTTCTGGTTTAAGTTTAAGATTAAAATTGCTAATTTTAACATGTATGTAATATATAACGTATAATGTAATAATAAGAAAATTTTATTATATGCATACATACATAGATTGAGGCAACTGTCAACGATATATTAAGAAAGCACTTAACCAAAGAGCAATTGCATCAACTTGAGTTGAAATTAAACGATTTAGAAATAAAAGTGAATAATTTAACAACCGAAGCTCTTAAGAAAGGCATTAACAATGAAGCAGGAATATGTGCTTATAACGAGTTAAAATTAGAACATGCTGGAAAAAAATCCGTTGAACGTGCACAATTGTGTATTGAAGAAAGGACAGATAAATTTAAAAATGTTTCAAGTTTCAACAATTTTGAAAATCTTTTTAATATCGTGAACGAATGTTTAGCGAGATCAGAAGATATCGAAAAGAAAATTATTACTATGTTTTTGAATTGCGATGAATCGCACAATGTTTTCGATAAATAATTAAGTTAAAATTGTACACAATTTATTGATTTAAAAATTTATAAGTACAAAATAATAAAAAATCTGATGTGGTTGGCACATAGCTGACCGCAATGTGTATTGTCTAGTTAAGTGGAAATGTTACAGAATATTATAAAAATGTCTGTTAAATAATTCTTTTCAATTTTTAGGACATTAGTAAGCTTATAGTTAACATACCTAGAAAAATGTTGATTTGATATTTTGCTTTGTGCTACCCGAATTCCCTGAAATGCTCGCCAGTTAGTTTCGGTAACAACCGGAACTCAAATATCAAATTTCAAGAAATTCCGTCAATTCGCTCCGTAGATATGGTGAAAAATGTAAAATCGACCCGCGGATCAGTTTTCGAGCCCTGATCTTTCCAAAAAATTTATATTCATTGTTTTAGTACGAAGAATTCAAATATTAAATTTTAATGAAATCAGTTAATTATTTCTCTTTATATACGCAAAAATGTATATTTGACCCGTAGTAAACGTCTAGTTGCTGACGTCTAGTTCCAAAAGTGAGAAGCTTTCGCGGACGGTCGAGCGAAGCTTATATATGAAATTCCAAGCAAATCGGTTGAATATTTCCTTTAAAATGGTCAAAAATGTAAAACAGGCTCGCTAAAAAGTGCAGTTTCCGAGGCCTGATATATCCCAAAAGTTGATTAATCCGTGCCGTGGTCGAAATAAACTTACATATAAAATTTCATCGAAATCGGTTCAGCCGAACTTGAGATACACGCGTGCACATACAGACCGACAGACCGACGAGACCGACAACCAACAGGTTGCTAAAAATAGTTTACCTACACTTGCCCTACTATGGAGAAGTGCATTCCCACCAAAAACTCGATATGCAAGATTTGTTGCCATAACATAACCTACCTATTGTATACACAATACGGTCGGTAATAATAATTAATAAGAAGATGATCTTGACTTTTTTTATTTTTTTTTTAAAGTGTGACTATAATATGTCATTAACCATTTTGATTGAATTGGTCGATTTATAAGAGATGGTATTCATTTAAGATTAAAAAGCATCTATAAAACTGATACAATTAAAACGCAAACGCCTTTCATTGCTTAAACCTTACAAATCATTATGCACAACCCTACTCTATATCACAAAGACTTATATATCGAAATCAAAAATCTTCGTATACCTCACAAAGAGCTATAAAATTTCATTTTATAACCTCAATATTTTTAAATATATCTTAAAAATTTGAAATCATATAGAAACTTTTATGCGAACACTTCATTTAATTTAAATTTACTTAAATTTGATGCAATCAATATTTTGACATTGCAAATAAATTTTTGATTTTGTTTTTGTTTGTCTCCAAGTATTATAGGTTTTTGACATATAAGGCGGATAACCATAGTCATTGAATTCCAAAATTTACTAAAAATAGTTATGAGACATCCAATTTTTATAGCCGTTGATAATAACGAACTAATCACTGTGCGCCGTAAGCAATATATGCAAATCAAACTTTTATATAATTTAATTTAAAAATTTTAGCGTATTATTTAGTAATTATTAATTGGTTTTGTTGTGTTGCCCTAAAATGCATTCATTTTTTTAAATTAAAATTACACTTAAAATAAATTTACCAAAATAAATAAAACAAAAAATTATCGTGAAATAAACCTGATACGCTTTTAACTTAATTTAAAATTTTAATTTATATATCAAGTTCCCATTATTTTTTTAATTCATTAAATTAGGATTGATATGAGTGAACTTATTGAATATGTATTTTTTTTCATACCACAGTCCATAACAAAGGCATTGTTTTCGGATCACGTTTAACTACTCAATATTGTAACAGAACATTTTATTCTTCGAGGTATACAAAAAAAATTTTTTATATCTGCACAAACATATGTTCCAAGGGTATACAAAATTTATATTACCGTCTGTATGCTAAGTAATATTGGGCTGAGATGTAGATTCAAGTATACGTTTTTGATCAGAGTCGAATTCTGAGTAGATTTAGCTTTGTCTGCCTGTCCCAATGAAAACTCAAAAACTAATTGAACTAAAATCAACAAATTTTCACAAATGATTTATTATAGTAAATGCCAGAACCCTATTTAAATTGGCTATGATCGAGGAACTGGTTCAAGTAGCTGCCATACAACTTCCAATTTTATTTGGTTATATCTCAGAAACTATAAAAGATGTGGTATTGATATTTCACACAAGTAGGTTTATTAGTAGCGCCAATGTGTTTGACAAAAGTTGTTGAAATTGCTTGGCTCCTATTGTTAGCTAAAATGCAAGTAGAAAAGCTATTTTGCATTATCTCAGAAATTATTACACATAGGCCATCTAGGGCCGTTGTGGCACCACCGGATCTCATCTTCTTTTCCGCTCATCATTCGAACCAACGTGAACTTCTCACAAATCGGTCAAGATCCCTGATATTTATATCCGCTAGGTCCGCAACGTAACCGAACATGTAAGACCAACAAATTTCTGCCTGGAGTTCGCCAGTGCCGGACATAAGCGCAGGAGGTGGGTCACCGTTTCCTGCCCTCCCTCGTCGAAGCAGGTCCCACAAAGATTGTTTGCGGCCCGGCCAGTCCTTCTCTTAAGCTCATCTGCCTTACACTTCTCCGGAGCATCACTGTGTTCGGGAACCCAAACCAAATTATCTCGAACTGCCTAGCCATCTCATTGAGGGACGAATTGCACTCCAAGACCGTTCTGGATGTACAGACCTCAGATTCCAAAGCCCTAACTGTGGCCTGGCTATCCGTGAAGATACTGTTGTTACCGGCAGATACCGACTGCCGCCAAGCCAGCGCAGAACCTCCCAAATCGCTTGAAAGATACTGCAGTGATCCGGTAGACGAAAGGAGAGCCCAACATGCAATTGCTTAGAATAGATTACCACACCTTCCCTGTGGTCAAGTTTAGATCCGTCCGTGTAAAAATGGACGGACTAGCCCTAGATATCGCCTCCGTTCAGCCAGGTCTGCCTCGGTGGAATCAAAGTACCACTACCTGTCCAAGAACGGAAGCATGTCCTCTCGTGCCACGTGTCCACTGAGATGCGGCCTTTAGTCGTAATTGGGGTCTGAGGCCCAACGTTTATTCTGCATCATCTAGGCGCAACTCCAAAAGGACCCCCCGAGATCCAGATGCATGCTATGGTCGTTTGTCAGATCAGCCCCATCCAGCATTTCTGCTTCTGATGAAAGCGGAGTCTGAGTAGCCGACTCTTCAGCAGCCTTCGTGCTGTCGCCGACTGCGGGCCCTCTTTCTGGGATTGGTCCTCAGTCGTCCTCCGACTTCTGGGTTCCCTCCATTTATGTGTCAGTTTTTTACATTTTCAGGGTTATGGAGGAGAACCCAACATTTAGAACAAAGTTCTGTCTGGAGTGGAGCAAGCGATTCCTTGTTCAGTATGATAAGGGCTTGTCTGTAGTTACTCTTCTTCTTTTCTAGTTTGTCCACCCTCGAGTTAGCGGTGGACAAGTTGGAATTGCCTAGCTGAATCATCTTTAGGATGGTTTCCATGTTCGACGGCTCAGCTGAGATCTGGGTACGAGCTCGCGATCGTTGCGAGCCTCGCGCAGGGTCAAAGCTCCCCTATTTTTGCTATTGCCTTCTCATAAAAGTCCAAGACAGAGGCCACGAGCTTGACGTATCTCTGATGCCAACCTTGGTCTCTGCGAGAGAGTTTGGGTTCTCTTTCGTGATCTGGGGAAAGCTTGCCCTAAGTCGACTCTCCACCTTCCGCCTGTTTTCTGCTAAAATCATGCAATCATTTTTTGCCTGGTCTACTACTGCAACAATTAGATGATCCTTCAGGATTTCATTATACGGCCTTGCCTTTGAGGGTTTGTTCGGCGGCCTGGGCCTCTTCCTTAACCAGGTGGTTCCCCCGTGGAGCGTTGCCGTTTAAGCGTTGCTCTTTGCCCAGCTTTTCGTTATGTGGACCTTTCTTAGTCCAACCTATATTTTTCAGGAATGTGGCTAATTTTTCCCTGTAAACTTTTCCCTGCTTCGAGGACGTGATTGATGTTGGCGTCCTTTGTTTGCTCTGGGTAATCTGAGTGACTGCATCCAATGAGCTGCTAGGCCTGACTGAGTCATAGCTTCGTGCACGGCAGCCTGGTCTCGATTTAAACCGTTGCTTCACCTTTAAGATAGCGCCAGTGCTTTGCGCATCTTTGTTGCCTCCAATTTTAGTACTAAATTTGCGTTCAGCGAAATCTCAGCTTTACTGCACGGAATTGGCTTTGCAAAATTTCTTTCCGACTTTTTATGAGTGCCGGACTCATTGTTGTTTTTATTTTTATACTTCTTCATAATAGTTCTACGAATTGCGGAGAAAGGAAGTTCATCTAGGCAGAGATCCGCTGAACCTAGATAAGGCTAAATAATTTGGAGGGCGCCAGGTATGCTCCGTTCGCAACTGGACTATTTGTCTGGGCCCCCAGGCAGGTTGATTATCGGCACGGGTCATACGACGACTTAATCCGGCCCAGGGGAGTTTGGAATGATAGGATTTGCTAGGAGGGATATTTTTGGGAAAAGTTTGATTATCTCTTGGTTTCAGGTTTCATCTGGGGATGAATCCCGAAATTCCTTAATCCTACTTGGCTTCTACACCGTGGCGAGGTAAATAATCGCGCAGAAGAATTTGTGTGATAAACTACTTTGAAATTTCTTGACTCCTTGTATTAGCTGCCATACAACTTCATAGTAGTTTTGCCATATCTTAGAAAATATTGAAAACACAGCATTGAATTTCTGCTTAAATTAATATGGTAATACGGCAACTTTAAGTCATAATCTGCCACATATTCAGCTATAGCATATTTGCTCGCACATAGGATAACAAATTCGTACGGGTATCACAGAGCTGACACGGTCAACTTTATTTGTTCTCGTTTATATTTACTTTCCTAATTTATTATTAAATGTCCATTGAATAACAGGGAAACGTCGCCGTGTTAAGCTAGTTCTACTCTAGGCAAAAACGGCCATTTTTTACAAACTATGACTGAATGGCCAAGCTCTTAGTCGAGTTGATTCAATTATGGAACTGGGTGTTTGCTTCGATAGCAA